CTCTATTTAGTTTTAATATCAAAGAGATTTTACAGTGCACTTTCTCAGTATTCTTTTAAAGCAGGTTCATGGAAATGATTTCCAGGGTGGTGATGAGTACTAAAGCACTTCATCCTTACCACTGTTGTTGAACAAACACACACTGGTTCAGCTAGAAGCAGAATCACTATGGTTATGTGGGACTTTATTTATCTATTCCTATCTATTTAAAGTTTCCCCGGGGTGCCAAGGAGCCTTGATTCATTTCTTGCACTGTTTCTGCATAAGAAACCATAATTCTGGAAGTCTCCCAAAGGACCAAGTGACCTGATTTTGGGGAATAATACCTGGGGGAAGATCAACTCAATATCCTGCCCAGGAGGCTACTTAATCTTCTGTGTGAGGTATCTAGATGAAAAGTTGGGGTTGATTAGATGGGGCTATTTCTAATAGACCTAACATATCCTATCAGCATGGGATGGGGAGAGAAAACACTTGAAGGCCTAATTCTGTCCCAGCGAGTACAATCAGTGGGAGATTTGCCATTTCCCTCAATGAGGAAAGAATAACTCAGGAAGTTTATTCTTGCCCAGCAGCTCTAATTCCTTAAAGATTAAGTACATACCCAATTTATTCCAGTAGTGTAAAAATAAAGAAAAACACCCAATGACTTCAATCTGTTTTGACCAGTTGCAGTGGAAATATTGCTTTACTTTATTGCCAGTCTCACATATGTATGATCATCTCCAGCAGAGTTCATTAATCTATAGATGACAGGATAGTTATTACTGTACAGCAAAACTGTTCTAGTGACTAAGGGCAGCATAAACAAGCCTCCTTTACATGGCTAGAAGACTTTGCCATGACACCCAGCTTAAAAGTACTTTCAATTTTTAAATGACAAAAGTATTCCTGGTTTTACACTATGCAGCAATTCCAAACCAGGACCACCAACAAATCTGTCTTGTAACAGGCCAGCAACCTGTGACAGCATCAGTCAGTAAAGCAGGACAATCATAGGGCAGTCATTCTCTCTGTCTACTTGTCTCTTTAATGAGGGTCAGCTTTCAAAGCCAATCCATAAGGCGGGAGAAAAATATTGTTTTCCTCCTGAAAAATGGCAGCAGGGTTTGCAAAAGTTGGTGCATGGTCAGACATTCTGATCCTACACCACCACCATGGAATGACAAACAAAAGAAACTATATCTGTGCTATGCAGGTGTCAATACACTGCGGACTATGATTAATGCAACACTGCGAGTTTGAGATTCAAACTTCTCATAACTATTAAGTTTTCAGGTACAAGTTAAAGCAAATATGCCATATCTACTAGAATGCAGATATCCCACGGGCGATCAGAAGGGTAGATCCAGCCCACAGGCAAATCTAGCCAACTATCTTACAATTACCTCACCAAAACTTTCACTTGTGGAAGGAAGGGAAAGGCCATTGCTGTTGATTATCAGCCCTCTATGACAGTAGCCCCAACAGCCATTCTGAGTCTCTGAAGAGCAGCAGTGGTCTCAGCTGCCCATTAGGCTACCCAGAAACTTGTATCCAGCCAAGGCACTGGAAAGGCTCATCTTTTGTGTTCTACACAATCCCAAGCAATGTCTGTACTACGGAATTTGAGTAGAAGTACAGGGGCATATTCCCCTTGCTGAGGCTTGTATTCTTTGATCTGGTAGAAAAACTAAGGCCTAAGAAGGTAAATCCAGGCACAGTCATATGAGAAATACTAACTTCCCTCTCACCCAGCTTTGCCAGTCAGTGTTACTTTTGGGCCATCTCAGTCATCTCCTAAGCAGCATCACACAGTGGTTCTGTGTGTTCAAAGCACTGATAAGGAACAACTTTTAGGGAGCCAACTCCACCTCCATGACTTCTTGGCAATGCCTAGCCATAGGACAGGGACAGTGGAGCTGCTATACCATGTGTGCCTCTCACTGTATGGAGATTGCAGTAGTGCTCAGCATTCTAACCATTCTCCAGGACTCTCAGTTCACGGCCACGCTTACAGGGAAACCACTAACAGAGAGCAGAGTAGGACTTGGGAAAAGTGTTCGTAGAACGCTCAAGAAGTTGGTTTAAGCTCTATTGTCTGAGGTACCTGTTCATTTCCATTTGCTCTTTACAGACAAAAAAAGAAACTGTTCTTCCTGAAATGCTCACTAATCAAAGGCAGCAAGAGGTAAAGATGCCAAATTTGTATCTGAGAAAGCTCATTCAAGTAGGACAACAAATGGAGCTCTCCAGAGAGGAACCCCACTGAGGTGCTCCACCACAGGGCAGGCTATGCTGTTCAAGATATTACATGTCTTTGTTCATAAATGGTGCACTCACCTTAGGAAGAGAGTATTTGGGCAATTTAATCTGTGCAAAAGGCTCCCGTCTGTATGACACATAGTAATTTGCTCTTCCACCAGCTGTCACCTGTGAAAATACCAAAGAAAGTGAGTGATGACCCTTCCAAGACACCCTAAGCTGACACCTCAAAGAGGGTTTGACAACCTTTCTTTCAGATATCTTTTCTATGACCTGCACAGCTGTCCTTAAAAGCATCTCTAACTCCGAAGAAATCCCAGACTTGAGAGGGCTGGAGCATTATTTATTTAAGCTGTGCTATCAAACTTTCCATTTTGTCTCGCATGCTTCAAATCCAGCATGATTTTAACATCTCAGGAAAAAGGGAAAAGTGAGTAAAAAGTTTGAGGTCTTGAGTGGAAGAAAGAAGATGATCTGGTTTCGTCACATGGTTCTAGCACTGCTACCTTGGGAAAGTCACTTAAAGTCTCTGTGCTTCTGTTCCTCTCCTGTAAGCAGGAGACAACACCTCTTTTCTCTGTTGCTTCTCAGCCTTGTCTGTTTGCACTATAAGTCCCTTGAGGCCAGGGTTGTCTTCCAACAACCTTTTACAGTGACTAACAGCAGAGATCCACACTAGCGCCATTTAATGCAAACAGTAAACGCAATGAATACGCTCTTGGAAAGCTGGAGCTAAGCTCTTAGATGCTCTTTGTCACTATAAAACTGGTTTCTCCAAAATCATACTGCCTCTGAACGATGACGTGGGGGTAACTGATAGACATCCAAATCTGTGGATTTATGGACTGTATGAGCTGTAAAAGCTACACATAAATGCCATGCTTCGATGTGATCTAGCTCTGATAATTTGTAAAATATGGGATTTTAAACCTGTCACTAGTCACTTACTCCTGCTGTGGGTGTTCTTTCTGGCACCATTTCAGGCCTGGCTACAGCAAGGCTTACATCAGTGAATTTCTTATATTCTGCTGTTTTAGCAGGCTTGCAGGTTTTAAGATAAAACAATACACAAAGCACTTGTCTACTACATGGGATGTCATTCCTTGGCTTCTTAAATTGCCAATAAAGCTAAAGGAAAGGTTCTAGATTCTCTCCTAGATATACTTCCTTTTATGTGACAGTGATATTTCAGAATGAGCTTACATGGAATATTGCTATAGCATCAATTATATTCTCAGTAATGATATCACCTCTAGATAGTGGCTTTCTTCCCAAAGAAGCTGTCATTCGAAGGAAACGATATTACTGAAATTTGATATCTAATCAGATCAAGATAAGGCTTTTCTATTGACAGTTTGAAGAACTGAAAAGAAAGGAAAGTTTAGAAACAGGACAGGCTGCTACACTAAGACTTCCTCTTCTGCTTGTTTGCTATTTTTACTTCTAAAGTTATCACAGCTGCATTTAGCACTCTTAAAAGAAAAAAAACAACCACATCACACACTGTATAAGAAGGCAGAAAAATTACTCATATCACAGCAAACAAACTCTATAAAGACAACAAATAGCTGAAGTCAAGAGAAAACACAGATGGGAAAATCTAAAGCAGTGTGCTTATGGTCTCAAAACAAGGCAGTGGCAGAGACAGGGAGCAAACATGAATCACTTGACTCTCACTTCATGTGAAGTGCACTGTGGACTGGCACAGTAACATTTCGGGAGTCCTGCTCTCCAGCTGTGAGGATGGTGAAAGAGCTGCGAGTGTTATTTCTGAAGGGTATCTTCTCCATCTAATATTACCATATCAAAACCAAGTTTTCACGGGAAACAACAGTCTATGTAGTAGATTCATGCTCAGTCCAATTCAAATGCAAAATTTCATGTTTGCAATATCATAGAATCGTTTGGGTTGGAAGGGACCTTTAAAGATCATCTAGTCCAACTCCCCTGCAATGAGCAGGGACATCATCTACTACATCAGGTTGCTTAGAGTCCTGTCCAACCTGATCTTGAATGTTTTCAGGGATGGGGCATCTACCACCTCTCTAGGCAACATTTTCCAGTGTTTTATCAGCAGTAAATGCGTCTGTCTATCAGCTGTACAAACATTGCCCAAAGGACCCTGTACTTCTAGCTCATACTATCTAATATTTAAATATCCTCTCTTCTCTTGGTGATATTTCTTATCTCCAGTGGAAGATGCAAATCCTCAGATGATATCACTCTGCCACCCACAATTCTGTTGGCAGGAGTTGCGTGAAGCTTTTCCTAGCCAGGACCTCATCTTTGCGTGATTTACGTCCAGGGTTATAACAGTTCCAAAAAACGATCAAGCCTTCAATAAAGTTTTGGCAAGCACTGTGATAGAGAATGAATTTTGGAAGGCCCAACTCAATTTATTTTGATGAACTTTTCCTTTTCCTATGAGCAAACTCTCCAATGCTGTAAATCCCAGAGATTATCATAGTGTTTTGCCCTCTAATGCCTCCTTTTAGTTCACATTTGATGAATGTCACCCAATTATTTGCTGTGAGCTCATCTGTCATGCCCAATACAGAATTAGCTGGGTTTGTCTTTTTCCTCCTCCTTTGCTAATGACTGGCTCGTTAATCTGTTTTCTTGGATTTCTATTTTATGTGTTTAATTGGGCTTCTGGCCAGTGGAAATGATTTCTCTGGACAAATGTGTTTGTCATTAAATACATTTTTCTTTCCTAACCTGTGTTCTTTCCTCCTCCCTCCATTCATGATCTACTACTTTTCTTTAATACTTCCGCATTTTGTTTCAAGACAAATGTCTGGTCTCACATCAGCTAACACTTAAGAACAGAAACATGAGAAGTTTCTCTTTAAAAGCCCTGAAAGTTTCAGTAAGCTGGCTCATCCCCTCTCCTGACCTGCAATGGGACAGAGCACATTAAACATAGAAGACAACAAATATGTTCAAAAGGCTGTAGACTATTATAGAAAATCTATCATGGAATCCATTCATCTCCATAATTTCTGTGACATGTCTAGAAACACCCTAAGTCATTTCTCATGTTAATAATTGAATATGATTTTTTAAGGGCAGGTTTTGTTTCTCATTTTTCTTATATAGGTGTTCTGCTTAACCAAAAAAATACATCATCTAAAAGAGTTTGGAAAGCAAGCAGAATGAGTTATGAGGTCTCAGACTGTAAAGACACCCTAGGTGACACCAGGAACTGTAGACCACAGTGTGCCAGGCTTCATTTCCATCTTCCTGGCCACTGTGATCCATAATTTCCAAGGCAGGTATTGATGTAACAAACATGGAATTATTAAACCTCTGAAACAATGCTGGGCTAAGCAAGATTTCACCTTCCTCCTGCTGCTCAAAGAACTCACAGAAAGCCTAAAGGAACATGCATTGATGCTGACAATGAAACATCATGTATTAGATGCACCATGTTGGTGGAGAAACAGTGACAAGTGTGCAGATAGCAGATGCTTCCTAAGCTAATGGCTAAAAGAGAATGGAGGGCTCTTTTCTACATAGTTTACCAGCCTGGGTGGTTTACAACAATAAGAATCACTTGCCCTGCACAGTTATTGGAACAGGTCATCCATTTTTTACACTGTTGATAGTGTTCAAAGCAAAAGAGAATTGATAACAACACAGGTCAGCCCACAATGACCAGACACGTTTAGACATTTGCGATTTCTGTAATTTACCTCCCATTTCAAGCATAGTAAATTGTGACTCAGTCCATTACAGAACCAAATTTTAAACTTCCTTGTTGATAGTAAGTATTTTGATGTTATTTTTGATGTTATCTCCAGTAAATTCACTTTTTTCCTGAGGTGATTTCTTTTGCTTGTATAGTTCCCTCCTTCCCAGTAACATAAAACCAGTTAGTAGAAGTCAAAAGTTGAGAAACACTATCAGCATTGTAATGGCTTCCTGGATCTGTGTTCTCCACCTCTACATGATTCCCTGGATTCCCTCCTCACTGCTTTAACCTTATCTACCCTTTCTCCTTGTAGGCATAACATCCCCTAAATCAGATGATGGATTAAAGCATGGAGAAGTGATGACGAGTTAAGTAGGCAGGCTGCTAGGCTCACATCTGTAGCGAGGGACTTTGGTATTCTGCAGAGCCAGCTACTGTCTTGGCCTTGCACAGGTTTGCCAGCATGAGGATTAAAAACGTGTGTGTCCTCTCTGAAACGTAACCCTAATGTAGGTCACAAAAGATTCAGGAGATGAGGAAGAACACATCTGTGTGAGCCTAGTGTAATGTTCCTCTCTCTTGATTATCTGTCCTGACCAGGACAAACCATCTTCCAGATATTTCTGTGTACTGAGGTTCTCCATTGCCCCAGCATAAATCACATCAAGATAGGTACCATCTAGGCTGAATTGTCTCCCTGTGGTTTTCATTAATATCATACCCTCTGCACAGTCATTAAAACAATATGCAATTCCCTGAGAGTCGGGAGATACGTCTCTATGCTGCAGAGACATACAGATTAGTGTTTCTGTGTGCAAAATGTCCTCAAGCTGCCGGGTAAATTCAGCAGGTTTTGAAAACATGCCACTTTTTAGAGTGTCAGATCCATCACTGAAAATTTCTAAAAAGGAGCATTTATTATACTGGCCCAGTCTCCATTCACTTCCCTTTCCCCTCAGAGCTATGATGGCACAGCTATACGACAGAGTAAACTTGAGAGAAAATAATGGATTTGTTTTAAAAGCAACTCCTGCAGAAAACGTGCACAGTTACACAAAACACAAGCCACATTAGAGCTGCAAATGCACATTGCCCACACAGAAACCAACTTAAGAGAGGAAAAAAATTGTACACATTAAATCTACTTTTGAAGGATTTAGGAGGCAACATATGAGTCTGCCAAGGTAATCCTTTACATCTTCAGCTGAACATGAGGGGAAGAGAGAGAGTGATAAAAGAAAGTACAGCACAAAAAGCCCTAGAAAGAAAATAAATATAAATAAATAAATAAAGGAAAATGTTAATCAATTTTATCAACAGATATTTAGGTTCAAGTTCCAAATCTGATATTTGGCACAGCAAAGATGAAACAGTGCTAGAAATGGATGAAAAGCACTCAGCAGTGAATAGGAAAGTACTTACTGCCTGTCTTGCTTTAAGAACAGCTTTTAACTAGCACCTGGGATGCACTTTC